AAAAGTTTAAAAATAAAAGTTTAAAAATAAAAGTTTAAAAATAAAAGTTTGAAAATAAAAGTTTGAAAATAAAAGTTTAAAAATAAAAGTTAAAAAATAAAAGTTTAAAAATAAAAGTTTAAAAATAAAAGTTTGAAAATAAAAGTTTGAAAATAAAAGTTTAAAAATAAAAGTTTAAAAATAAAAGTTTAAAAATAAAAGTTTGAAAATAAAAGTTTAAAAATAAAAGTTAAAAAATTGAAGTTTAAAAATAAAAGTTTGAAAATAAAAGTTTGAAAATAAAAGTTTGAAAATAAAAGTTTAAAAATAAAAGTTTAAAAATAAAAGTTTAAAAATAAAAGTTTGAAAATAAAAGTTTGAAAATAAAAGTTTGAAAATAAAAGTTTGAAGTTCGTTCGTAGTCAGGAAGCAATTTAAAATACTGTGCCGATGTCTTCTTTATTATCAGACCTAAAGAGTAAAGATATTCGGCTTCGCCTCCTATTTTATATCTGATAAAACACTGCTGATCATGTATTAAATAGTACTAAAAAACTCATTTAGATAAACTTTAAGTTAAATTTTCTCACCAAATATCATTCATCGAATATTTAAAATTGTTGAAGAATACGAATGTTCTCAAACGTTTGATCACAAGTCATACGAAGTATCGCGTACATGTTGTGACGTTGTCGCAGACATTGTCTTTGGCTCAAGTTTGTACATTTGATACAACACGGCCGCTCATGCTTTATCTAGATTGTAGACATAAAATTTACATCCGCAGTGCGTGTTTTATCAGACTTATAAAAGATACTCGGCCTCGCCTATAGTACTTCAAACTTTTGAAGACCAAGCATGTCAAGCGGCAGGTACAAAACGCAGGTTGCAGGTTGCAGGTTGCAGGTTGGAATTTTGCAGGTTGCGAATTTTGCAGGTCGGAATTTTGCAGGTTGACAGGAACTTTGCAGGTTGATAATGCAAACTGAAAATGACACCACTTTTTTAGTATTCTAGTATATTTTAGTTGTGCATTTATTGCGTCTGACTCCTTGTCGGCGCCTCTGCTCTAAGGCTAGTGGCTATCACCCCCGTGAAAATATTCAAAATGACCAGATTGGCTTGGACCTACAGAGAGACGAATGCAGGGACGTAGGAACCGGGGGGCAGGGGGGGCAGGCCCCCCAAGTTTTCTAAGTGCCCTTTTTCTTGGAGCAAATTGCCCTTTTTTTGCGTTAAAAATGTTTTAAGGATTGCCTTTTTTTGCCCAAAGCGCACTTTTCGAAACTTGAATTTATGTTATTTTCCGGAATATTTTTTTCATTTCCTGGAAAAAATATGATATGTCCGAATTTTTTTTTGTATTTCCGGAAATTGTTTTTCATATTTAGGAAAATTGGATATATCCGGAAAATTTTTTTTTTGGTATGTCCGGAAAAATTTTTTGAGACCTCCCCCCCGTCGCCAACATTTCCGGGAAAAACATTTTAGATGCCCTTTTTTATTCGGAAAGTGCCCCTCAAAGCCTGCCCCCCCCAAACTTTTAGAAGCTTCCTACGCCCCTAGATGAATGTTTTGATTGTTGCGAGGTGCCTACATGATGTGGCGGCGTTTATACTAGAATGTTGTTAAAAGTTAACTAACTCTCGAGTAATGATACGGTAATTGGGGGCTTGAGTGGTCTCATA